GGGGTAATGGAGATGATTGCAGAAGAGGCAAAGGCAAAAGAGGGAAAGGCAAAGAAGAGGGGCTGGATTTTTGAGAGATGATTGAGGAGCAGAGGCTGGATTTTTTAGCAGGGCTGTGTTTTTTAGACGAAAACGACGTCGTTTAGTTTGAGACTCCAACTTTGTTTTGGGAGGTAGGACTGATACCCACTTTCCCGTTATAAATATAATTTTTTAACAAGTTTACAAATAATTTTAATATTTTACGGAAGAGGGAGAAAGGTTATCTTGAAAATTTAAACATCAAACACATGAGTATTCCCACTTAAAGAGTATGTGAAAATTCACTTAACCTGAACATGCAAAACAATTATAAATATAATTTTAGTGTAAATTATCATAATAAAAGATATCAAAAAAAATAATTTTATTTTGTAGTGTTTAAAAATGGAACGGTTAATATGCACATATATAGTTCTACTAATTTTAAGTATTTAATCACCGTTTTCTTTGTCTTCCCAATTTTTTAAAATTTGAACTTTCAAGTTGATTTTTGCATCGTCAATTATTGATCTATTGATCTATTTTAAAAATTAAATTACTCTATGTTAGTGTAGTGTAGATACATGCATGAATGTGTCTTAATTCTATTAGTGTAAATTATGTACATTAGTTTTGAAATTCATTTAACATTTATAGTTTGTTGAACAAATATCGTTTACCTACATAATTAACGTACATTTAAGGATATTAGAATCCAAGACATGAATGCCAGATCATTAAGCCCTTTACTATTGTTAGGGTAAAATGTGGTCCGCCCCATGAATAAATTGTTAGTCACATTAAATGCACATTTTCTGCAATTTTTTTTTTCATAAATAAGTGGAGTGTGGAGATAACATGTTTAAAGATTTCGTAAATTATTAGAATATATAAAAATAGATGAGAGATCTCCTTATAAACAAATGTTATATATTACATATATATATTTAATCTTAATTTTTTTTTATTTTTAATATTTAAGATTTATTATGATTTTTAAATAAAAAATAATTATTTTTAATAAATATAATAAAAAAATAAATATATTTTAATCATTAAAAATAAAGTTATGAATAATTAATTAAAATTTTATATAAATGTAACATATAAAATTTATATGTAAATAAATTATTACTCATAAAAATAAATTTTATGTAAGTAAACACTTGATATTTAAAGTTGTCTTCTTATTTAATTACTTTTGTTTCAGAATTTAATAGATAAAAATAATAAGACAAAAAAATTCTAAGTAAAAATACAACATTTTAACACGGTAGAGTACTATAATACATTATTTTTAATTATTAATAAAAAAATAAACTTTTATTATTAAAAGATTATATCTTTATTAACAATTATAAAATAAGTAATGTTAAAAAAATACAAATTTAAAATTAATAATATAATATAAATTATATAATTATATTAATGATTATATATTATATCATTAATTTTATACTTTAATTTTAAATTTTAATCTTATTTATCATTACAATATAATAATCATTATCCTATGAACATTGCAGTTCACTCAGTCACCTTTAACGCAACATCAAAGCTTTAAAGGGTGGCGGTAATTGGGGAGGAGTTCAGGGATTTATAAATAATTTTTTTGAATTTTTTTATAATTTTATATATTATTTAAATAATTATTTTTTATTTATTTAAAATTTATAATATTAAATGTATATTTATATTATTTAAATGATTATCATTTTTATATAAATTAAAAATTATATAAAAATTAATTAAAAAATATTATCTGTATACCATAATTACATTCAATATCAAATTTAAATTTTATAAATAAATAAATATGTATTAAAAAAAAATTTTTTTATAAAATTTGATGTACTTAAATTTTAAATTATTTGAAACTTTTGTTATCAAATATCAAAAAAATTAATAAAAAAAAATTTACGTTGCATAACCTATTATATGCCAAAAAAAAATGTGACAGTAATTTTTCTAATTGAACGCAAAAAAAGAAAAAAAAAAAAGGTCACACTGTACTATCACCTACGTCAATGTGTACCAAAACTCAAGGTGGGTCCATGGACATTATTGCCTTCCAAGACTTTTCGGAAGAAAGGAAAGGACACGTGGCTTCCTCAGACTTTTGCCTCACGAAAATTCATGTGTAGTTGTCCTCATGTAAGCACTGTCCCCAGTTCTATGCAATTTCCCTTTTTTTTTTTCCTGTCTTAAAAAGCATTAAATGATGTAAGATAATTACAATGTATACGTGTCCCTTAAAGGAGTGTTTTGTAAAAAAGGCATTTCCACACATATTCTTTTCTCTCTCCTCTCTCTTCCCTTCCCTTTCTCTCCCTCTCTCTCTCTTTAATTTTTCCCCCATTTCCCAACTCCCCACCCCCCACCCTTCTAGCCCTGGAACACAGGAACAAAAAATCTGGGGAAGGAGGCTTCCAGTACTATATTTGGAGTTCAACGTCTCTTGGGTTTCAACTGGTAAGGTGTTTTCAATTGTTGCTTTGAGTAAATTTGAGATTTTGATTGTGTTTGGGGGAGCTTAGGAATTAAGATCATGGGAAAGTTGGATAACTCTAGATATAGAATTCTTGTTGTTCTTGTTGTTCTGGCGGTGGTTAGTTGGGGTTGGTGCGTTTGTTGGAAGGAGGGGGAGATGAAAGGGACTCTTGTGTGAGAAAAAGGCTGAGATTGAAATGGGGTTGCCTTAGATCCAGGAAACCTAAGTTTGTATGTGCAAAAAAAGTTCGCCTTTTTCGAGTCTGCCTGTGATTATTTGGTGTTGTTTTCCCTTTTTCCTAGGTTAATCTTATGAATCCTTTTCGCCTTTCTCTTCTTGGGTTAAGAGTAGCTGCACTTTCTATTTCAGACTCGTGTAATTAAGACTATGGATAAGGTTTGGTTGTTACTATAAAGTTGGAGAATTTGATAAGATGAAGGATATTGAGAAATTCAATTTACCTGTCATGTCTTCTGATTCGTTCTCAAAAAGGGTTGATCTGGTGTCCTTCTGCAGATCTGATTAACCCATCCTCTGTCCTCTTTTGTTTAATTCATTCCCCTCTTAAAATTTTGACCTTGGTGGTTTAGCTTGTGCTTCATATACTATTCTTTGTAAAAAGACTGAAAGTTGTCTGGTATTTAACACAATGGAAAAGGTGTTTTGTACCAACTATGCGGATGCTCGTTTGTAATTGAAAGGAGATGAGAAACATGTAAACTGGTGGATAAGCTAGAGGGATTTGAATGGTAACTGTTAGTTGCTTAGAGTGAGGGTTGTTGATGGAAGACATGTCTTCAGCTGCCGTTTCACTGACACTTAGTTTAGGTAATTCTGTGTGTGAGAATTCCGGAATGGCAACACATGTAGAAATTACACGGATGAAGCTCGTAACAGATGCAGCAAGCTTGTTGTCTGATACTGCTAAGGTCATGTCTTCAGACTGTCCTGGGTCTGGTGACACTAAGGGTGATGCTCATATGGTGACTGTGTCGGCATCTGCCCAGTGTGGTGGTGCAGCTGATTTGTTTAAGCTGTCACCTGAGGATGGAAACAGATTGACCGCTGCTGGTGATGCCATGACCCATGAGAGTGAGGAGGATGAAATTCTGTCTGTTGTGGAAGACAGTAATGGAATTATCAATGAGGGATTGCTCGTTTTGAATGCTGGGTCAGAAATAAGCCCGCCAAATTCTGTGGAAATTGAAAGTGGTCGAATTCTTGCCAAGGCTATTATTTTGGGAGAGTCAAGCATTGAGCAGGTGCCCACAGCTGAAGTAGTCCTCACTGCAGTGAATTCAGATGCAAAGATTCCTGATGGGCGTGAGTTAAAGGCCTCTGAGGTGGTTATTAAGCTGCCTAGTGAAAAGAATCTCACTAAAGGTAGCCGAAGTGTTTTTGAGTTGGACTGTATACCCTTATGGGGTTCTGTGTCAATTTGTGGGAAAAGACGTGAAATGGAAGATGCTATTGCTGCTGAACCCCGATATATGAAAATTCCTATCAAGATGCTCATTGGTGATCGTGTTATTGATGGAATGAGTCAGAGTCTGACCCACCTGACTGGTCACTTCTTTGGTGTTTATGATGGCCATGGCGGCTCTCAGGTATAACTTTTCTTCCAAAAAATTTTTGTTACATCCTGACTCTATCAAGATTTGAAAGTCCTCATAATTTTGTAGCCATCTGTTTTGTTTTAGATATTTTGCAATCTATAGTGATATAATTCACAAATATTTCATAAAACCATCAATTTTATAATAACTGGAAAATTCTGTTGCTGTAAGCAACTCCCTGACCCTGTATCTTGTTCTCCATATTTATTTATTTATTTATTTGTAAAAAAAAAAAAAAGAAAAAAAAAAGAAAGGAAAGCAAATTTGAGTAAAACCATCTTTTCCTCTTTACACAATGGCTTAAACTTTTAGGTTGTACAGCTTAACATGCATTAGCGTCTTTTTTGCCAAGAGTCTTTTTGTTCAAGTAAAGGTGTATATGGTAGATCCATGTTTTATCCATGCTTTCAGTCCTCATGGCTTGGGATTGTGTTTGAGGTGATGTATTTGTGTATTAAATTATTCTATAGACCTATTCAATTGAGAGACGTTTAAAATACTGCCTTTTCTATTATAAAAATGGTTTCTTGAGCTTTTTTGAACATATGCTGATCATTCAAGAATTTTTCCCTTGATGGATGTTTGAGAAGCTTGATACTGATGGGTTCTGATGCAGGTTGCTAACTATTGTCGTGATCGTATTCATGTGGCTTTGGCTGAAGAGATTGGAAACATTACAGGTGATTTATATGATGGTATTAATGTGGAAAATCGGCAGGTGCAGTGGGAGAAGACCTTCACTAGTTGCTTTCTGAAGGTTGATGATGAGATTGGAGGAAAAGTTAGCAGAGGCAAGATTGGAGGAAGTGCTGATGCTTCTGATTCTGGTTTTGACCCTATTGCCCCTGAAACTGTTGGATCAACTGCTGTGGTGGCCTTGGTCTGTTCATCACACATTATAGTTGCAAACTGCGGTGATTCTAGAGCAGTCTTGTGTCGGGGAAAAGAATCCATGACACTATCTGTCGACCATAAAGTAATTTATGCATATAAAGTCTTCAATCTTATCCTGTTAAGAACAAGAGCTATCTGCTATCCTTTTGTGGAAATTAATCTTTCCTTCTTTATCATTGTGCAGCCAGGTAGAGAAGATGAGTATGCAAGAATTGAGGCATCAGGAGGCAAGGTTATACAGTGGAATGGACACCGCGTGTTTGGTGTTCTTGCAATGTCAAGATCTATTGGTAGTTTTAGTTCATTTTTGGCCTGAATTCAATTACAAATTGTCATTGAGCGGTTCCATAAAACATATGAAATTTTGTTTGGACAAGTTGAAACAAACGACCATTTATTGCATTGATCTCTGTTGCCTGGCATTTCCTTTTTCTGATAGCTTGTTTAATATCTGACCTTGTTTGATGATTCCTTTAGTGGAGTTTAACCTATGATACCTAGTTTTTCACTGACTTCCCCTCAATACCATCTTGCAGGTGACAGATACTTGAAGCCATGGATTATTCCAGAACCAGAAGTGATGTTTGTTCCTCGAGCCAGAGAAGATGACTGTATGATATTGGCCAGTGATGGGTTGTGGGATGTGATGACAAATGAGGAAGCCTGTGAAGTGGCTCGAAAGCGGATCTTGCTGTGGCACAAAAGGCATGGGGTTCCATCACTGGCAGAAAGAGGCAAAGGCGTTGACCATGCAGCACAAGATGCAGCTGATTACCTTTCAAAGCTTGCTCTTCAAAAGGGCAGCGAGGACAACATCTCCGTCATTGTGGTTGATTTGAAAGCTCAGAGGAAATTCAAGAGCAAATCTTAATTTAATCTATGACTATATACCTAGTACATTAACAAATACGTACCTAGCTGTTAGCTGCAGTCCATGACTTTTTCTTATGGGCTTAATGTGTGTACAAGAATACAAGAAATGAGTATGTACCATAGAAACCGAATCTGATGTGATGAATGCAATATTTATCGACTGTGTTTTTGTTATTGAATGGTTCATCTGATATGATAACAATTAACAACATTTATTGCCTGTTGGATAATATTAATTTAGCTGGTAATGAATTCAGAATATGGGAGAAGTGTTAATGTTTTAGGTCTGGTTTTGGTTGTTGGAGCTATGTAGCTAGAGAAAGCGTGTCTGTATGCTAATGTATTAATCTTCTTTAACTGCAGATGTTGTAATTGTTGCAGGCTTTGGTATGTGCTGTTTTTGTGGTGATCATAATATCAGTTCTTATTTTCTTTTTCTTGGCACTGCAATATGTTTCTGTTTTCTCCACTTTTATATGCTTCCTTCCACAACCATATCATCATCTATGTATCTGTGGATGAAGTTTCCATCGAATCTAGTTTTAATAGGAGCAAGAGGGCATCATTACTTGGAATGCAGTGGCTAGAATGTAGCCATGTGCCTTCAAAGTCAATTGCCGGTTTCTTCTCAAGTCCTGGACATTATACAAACTTCAAGTTGCAATAAGCCACTTACGGAAGAAACAATTTCGAGATTTTAAGGGGGGATTCTCTTGGAAGTTGGCATATTCCTTAAGTATTGAAGTGACCCTGAGGACCAACATCAAGAATCCAACTACTCATTTAACTTGTCCAGCTCACAAAATTGAAAAGAGGAAGAATTTCTGAACTTGGAGTGGAAATGTTACTTTGGAAAATACTAAAAGTTTTACTCTAGTCTACAAAACCTATAAAAAGAACAGGGGGAATTATTAATTAAGGGTTTTTGGATATGAAAAGGAACATATGCTGGGTTTAGTTTGAACTTTCTCTATGCTCTGTTTATATCTTTTACTAAAATCCAAAACAAAAAGAGGCTTTTTAATGAAGGTTTTTAGAACTCAAAGGTACATTTATACTAAACCAAATCAGCAAGCAAATTTCGTGATCCCTCACCTACTCGGGCACCCAGAATAAAGCAACAAAAAATGCAACATATATTAACATCTATACAAAAGAGGAACATAACCACCTCACCTGAGTATGTTAGTGACAAGTTGGTTATGGTAAGAGTGAGGAGAATTTTAATAAAATGTAAGGTTCTAATTCTCAAAATCTATATATCATTTAAGTGTAAATAATTTTAATAAATCACGTCTGTTACTTATGAGTAAAATTTTGTTAAGATGGCATAATTTATAAATATATTTACAAAATTAATCACATCAAAAGTATAAATACTATATTATTTAAAAATAATTTGAATACTTTATATAACTTAACCTATTTAGAAACCTTAACAAAGAAGCTCTTATTTACCAAAAAAAAAAAACAAAGAAGCTCTTGACTGAATGTTTTGGAGAAGTCAAAGTTACCTTGATACTTAACAAAATTTAAAAGAATTAAGAATGTATCATATACCATAATAAAACCAATAAAAAGGAAAAGAAAAGCAGTTTAAATTATATATAACACATATTTTTAAATATAGATAGATAGTGGAATCCTGGGATTGGACTGTATCTAAATACATAGCTTTTATGTATATTGGATGGGTATTTAATGTACCATTATACACCTTTCACTTATGTGATTATTGTGGTTACATTTTTTATTGAAAAGTAGGTGAAAACATCATAATTCTTCAAGCTGTGTTCTTAACTTGATATTTTTTTTTTTTTTTTGTTTTGGTTTTTACCTTTCCCATTGAATTTTTTTTTTTAAAAAAAATGTACTATTGTGCATTCAAGACTCGACGGTGGAAGAGTAGTAGAGGATGGGTGAGATGGAAAATGGTGAGGAAAAGCTGGTAATGAAAATGACTTTAAATAAAGATAATTTCTATCTTTCCTTTATTCTGATCTTTGCGGTCATTTTCTATCAAAAAAATGATATTTAGGGTTGACATAGAGATTCTTGTCCGTTTCGCTTGGAAAAAAGTTGGAAAAAAG